CATAATGTAATTATTATGAAATATACCATATAGGTAGGTACCTATATAATGTAAACAATTGAATTTAATTCAATAATTAGCATAGTGTGTTAAATAGGGATACATATAAAATTATTTATCCCAAATTAATAGAGAATCCTTATTAAATACCCACCAAATACTATAGTTTGTCGAAACATCAAATTGGCAGTATCTACTCACACTGTATGTAAATAGTTAGTATCTATAAGATATAGGGATATTCGATATGTACATACTGGAGTGCTTATAAAATACCTAGAGATGTTTACAATATTTTATCAAAACTGAACACATCATCCTCCAAAACAGGTAGATTGTAATATACCATCAGTTTCTTGGAAACATAACATACCCATCTATCTTACGTCATATTAAAAACATAGATACACATATGAATAAACTAAAATCTAACATTATATGTAGACTTATTACATCTAATGAGTAAAACCAATACATACCTGCGAAGGTATATCCATTTGTTGAGGCATGACACAATTAAACAACCGAATAAAACTGAAGTGAATTTAACAAAACATTGGAAATACATAAAAATCCATTTATAAAAATAAGGAAAAAGACTACACCCCTTATCCAACGATGCTTGCAACCGACTGAAACGAAAAACGAAACGAAAACATGAAAGCAAAAAGATCAAAGTCAACTTAGCCAACGAAACCGTTTTTAGAGGTGGGACCCAATCAGATAACAGTTAGGAACGTCCCAACTAAAATAACTAATTTATATGTATTCTACCCAAAGTGATTGTCGAAAATCTGCATTGAATAAATATTTCAAAATAATAAAGAAATTATTAAATATACCTATTTATAAATTTTAATTTTAACTTAAGAAATACAGGGTGTCCCAATGAAAAATAGCCCCTTTCCATTGGATAAAATTTGGTTACGGTGAATTTAAACGAGATTTTTAAAAAAACACCCTGTATAGGTAATACATAATTTCTGTGTCACTGAAGCAAAACTTATAGCAAAATAACACATATCAGCAAAAATTGCACGTTACTACGATTTATTTAAAAGTTATAAGCTCTGGAAAATAGCTACTTTTCATTGGGACACCCTGTATTGTTACCTTTTCTATTCTGTATTTTTATTGGGGTATCCCGTTAAAAGAATAAATAAAAAAGATTGCATTGAAAAAATTGAGGCCATAATTATTACGAATTTGATTTAAATGATAGTATTTGGGAAATATATTAACCAAAGGCAATAACTTAGAACCTCACAATTTTTATTCTGGTAGAAGAAATTATAAATGAATAATTTTTATACAGGGTATCCACAACTCATCTAGTACCCAGACAGCACACCAAATCCTTTGGATATCTACTGGACATCCCAATATCCACTGAATGTCCAATCCATGGTGGATATCTATTTTATATCCATGAGATCCCATTAGATATTTTGCTGGATATCCATAGAATATCTTCTATATTCTGGATATAGACGGACATTTGGATATCCATATTAAATCCATGGGATATTTCAGATATCCTGTGGGTATATTAGATATCCACAAAAGATGTTCTGTGGATATCTCTGGGATTGGGTGTGTTGTCTGGGTATATTATATGAAGAAAAAATCTTAAATAATCACTATAAGATTATGAAAGGACATTAATTAAAATACTCCATTAGTTCACAAGAACCAAGAAAAAGCGAAATCATAAGAAAAATCAAATTCCATAGCGAAAATTTGAGATGTAGTGCAAAGGAATTAAGACTGTTTTCATATAATTTGCTTATCTTTAATATTTGAATTTTACGAAAATAATCTACGTCATCCTAAAGTCCCAAAATTTGATTGCAAATCGTTAGATTAGTCAGAATCAAATATCTGGCTTCCTAGACATACAAATATATTTATTTTCTAGCATAAGTTAGGCACAAATAACATTTCTTTTAACGTGTCCTGATATTTAGAAAAAAAAAATTACTAAAAATCGTATATCTAGAAATGGGTAGGAGAGTTTTTGGACATCCTGTATAAATCACACATGTGGTACGGATGCAAAAAGAAATTAACTTCAGTAATTGTGTAAAGAAACTTCGCTATACAGGTCCAAACAAAAACTAAGTAATTTGACTATTGTACTAACCTTGCCCCATATCAAGTAAATACTTATCTTTCTTTGTCTGTATAGAAGAAAAAAGTGTTATTTAATAATTTTTATGTCGTTATAGGTCGCGTAATGTGAGTACAAACTTTTGTGTATACCTCATAAATTCAACCGTTTCAATGTAACGAATGTTCCCATCTCTAACTCCTTTCCGGTCAGTATGAATCATAGCCAAACTCTTCTCTCTCTTTCTCTCTGAATCTCCTAGCCCAGCTTCACATGGCGTTGCTGCTTGAATTTTTTGGCGGTTATCATATCATAAACAAACAGTAACAACACACAGCAAAGTTCTGTTCATTGATTAGAACGAAAAAACGATCATTACTCTCCCATTTTTATGAATGGGGATGATCGATGGGGCTCTAACTTTTGTTTGGGAACAGTAGGAAAGGGTCAATTGCACTGTTGTGTTAAACGAAGTTTAAATTTGGTTATCTCAGAGTTAAATAAAATGTTAATCCCTTAATACAGGGTGGGCCAACGAAAACTTTGCACTCCTATTTTAGAGCTTTAAAACGAAAATCGGTAAAAAGCTCGAACCCGTCGATTTTTAATTCGAGGGAGAAAAACTTGTTTGGTTTTTTCATCCATGTAACTTCAACCCTCTAACAGGGGGATGCACAACCCCCTGTTTTTGAATAGGGGCGAGGGGTGTTGCATACCTCATTTTAAAGATCTCATCGAGTACTATCTGACCCCAAAATTTCGCGACAAAATTTTTATCGATAACAGCTAAAACAGTGAAAGAGACAATGTGGAAAAAATGTCTACTTAATAAAGTATTAGAAATTAAAAAAAAACGACTTCAAAAACGTGCAGATGTCATCACCACATCTTAACCAAATGTATATGGGACCTCTCCTGAGGTACCCCCTTACTAACAAAAAAAGAATCATATAAATCGGACAATGTGGTAAAGCATTATCGCTAAACATACATAAAAAATGAAGAGTTTGAGGATTTTCTCATGGACCCAATTATTAGATTTTGACCAAATTTATATGGGACCACTCCTGAAGTACCCCCTTTCTAACAAAAAAAGAATCATTGAAATCGGACACCGTGTTAAAGAATTATTGTTGAACATACATAAAAAAAAAATATCGCGACGAATTGATAACCTCCTCCTTTTTTGAATTTGGTTAAAAACCAAACAAGTTGTTCCCCCTCGAATCAAAAATCGACGGGTTCGAGCTTTTTTCCCGATTTTCATTTTAAAGCCGTAAATTCGGGTGTAAAATTTTCGTTGGCCCATCCTGTATAATCTATTTTGTATAGGTATGATTTGCAAAATGGATTCGGATAAGACGAAATTAAAAACTGAATTTTCATATAAATAAAAAACAAATTTCAATTTATGGTATAGGTATATTTATTTTTACTTTCCTATCTGTATACAGATATAAGGAAATTATAGGAATCATGATTTTTTTCGACCTCGAGTTTTCGACGGATTTTTACGTTTTGAGGTCCCCTGAATCCGTTTTGACTATTTTCGCGATGATGTGTGTGTGTGTGTCTGTATAACGCATAACTCATGAACCGATACACGGAAAATCACCAAATTTCAAACTTAAGCTTTGTTCCAGCGTCTAATGAACTGATTAGATTTTGGGCAGAGTCGGAACATCTGGGGGAGTACTTTATAGGTGGTCATTTTTATATTTTATGGAATATATCTGTTATTTACGTTTGGGGAAGAAAATTCTTCAAATAAAAGTTACTTCTTATTTTATTATCTATAATTTTTGTTATATAGAAAATTTTCCTAAAATGGTCCGTATTCGCGAAATTTGACAAAATGTAAAAAAATATTTTTTTTTATAAAAATTGTTTAAAAAAAAGTTGTTTGTAATATAATTCTCTATAATTTTTATCCCATAGATAATTTCTCTAAAATGGACCGTATTCGAGATATTTGAGAAAATGTGTAAATTTCGAAATTTGAAGAAAACTCAAAAACGGATAAAGAAAAAAACATTAAATTTTAAACTTAAGTTTTATTTCGGCCTGACGTGAAATGATTAGATTTTGGACAAAGTCGGAACATCTGGGGGGGTACTTTATGGGAGGCCACTTTTATATTTTATGGAATATATGTTATTAATGTTTGGAGAAAAAAATTGTTCAAATAAAAGTTACTTCTAATATTATTATCTATAATTTTTGTTTTATGTAAAAATTTCCTGAAATGGTCCGTATTCGAGAAATTTGACAAAATGTGCAAAATTCTGAATTTTATGAAAGTTTTTGAAATAAAAGTTGTTTGCGATATTGATCTCTATAATTTTTGTTTATACATGATTTTTCTAAAATGGACCGTAATGAAAAAATTGTACGAAATTTTAATTTTTCAGTATTTTCGTTTTCCATGAATATCTATAGAAAAATGTTTCGAGGTAGATGTATGTGGACAATGTATATATTTAGTTTATCCTCTAAACATTTATAGAGGTGCTGCAATAGGTTGTACAAAATAACCGGAAAAAGCCTATAATAACTAGATAGGAAAGTCATGTGTTGGACACATCAGATTTTTAATTAAAATACAACAAAAAATACATGCCAATAATTGAAAATGTAATGTTTACGAAATTTAAATAAAAAAATAACATTTTTAAAAAGTTGGAAGGCAATTCAAATATCAAATAACTAACAAAATTAAGATGCACCAAGGTAGGTAATTACCCTGTTTTTACACTCACATAAATGGGTCAAAATTCTTTGGGATACCCTGTAGTATAATTTCAAGGAAACACATATTAAAAGTCAAAGGATAATGCAAACAAAATAAGCTATAAAATAATGTTATTATCTTTGAATTCTGTAAAAGAATAAAAAAGTCATCATTTTTCAAATTTTAAATTGTATATTACTAATTTATTTTATTATTATAAGTAATCAAATTTCTGAAATAAAAATATATTAAACAAAGCAAAGAAACAATGCAATAATATTGCCTAGAAAAAAAGAACTATGATGTACTATTGAATCTTTTGCTCCTCTCCACATCCCGAATACTTTTTTCAATTTCAAACCTCCTCAAATCTGTCCTTTGTAAAAAGTCCTGCCTTTCTAAATATCTAAAAAAGAAACATTTAATATTGATGAAAAAGTATAAATACTTGATTTTTTTATTATTGTAATAAAGAAGAAATGCCAAAAATAGAGTAACAGTAATGTCAAAGCATCAAAACACCTTCTAAAAAAATAGAGACAATGATCTGATAAATATTGTATTTTGTTTATTAACAAATTAGGGATCTTTTGCCTTTTTACAATTTATAGTAACACAAAATTCTTATTAGTAAATATTAAATAAGTGAAGTCTATAAATACCAATAATGCAATAATTTAAGCAATTTTTTTTTCTGAAATGACAGAATGAATCTTGAAAACCTACCCATCTTTTCCTTTATTATGTGTTTCTAATTCCTCTTCAATACTGTGATCCCTTTTATAGCTGTCCCAATCTAATTTTGTTTTTTCTAAAGTAGTAATTTTGGGTTTCTTGGAAAGCTGACTTAAAACACTACCAATACCACTAAGTCCAGCTGATCTTTTACTACTATTGGAATGTGATGGTTGCTTTTCACTAAGCAAACGAGCCTCTGCAGAATCAGCCCTAACCTCTTTTTCAACTCTTACTTCTTCACCAGCAAATTCAAATATTTGAGTAACTTTTACTTTGTCATGAGGATTCTTTGTTACTACTGTACTATTTTCAGAATTATTTAATTTCGTTTGTTTAGGTTTATCAGATTCTGGTTCTGCCAGATTTGATTTTACATCAGTTTTAGATTTAAAACCAGTATCTTTTATGAAATCAGCCCAAAGATCGTCAACATTGTTCTTTTCTTCTTTATTCACAGCCTTATTTGTTTCTTTAGCTTCTAAAATGATAGTGAAATCATAGATATTAGGCAAATGTATTTTCTAATAGTAGGGAGTTTCAAATATTCAATTGTGATATTTCTTTCTTAGATATTTTTGTTGGAGTACATATAAAACTTCCTAATATTGAAGAGAATTTCTAATCATTTTATTACATAATATTATTAGTAATATTTTTTGCAGGACAATTTTGCAAAAGCAGGTAAAACACCTTTCCAAGAAAGGATCTTATAACATAATAATGATTGTATGATTGCAAAATATATTATTTTCAAATATACATTCAATGCATTATTTGTATGCTTAGTCCAGTTATGAAATTGTTAAACATATAAAATTGACAACATAAACATAAGATATGACTAGTAAGAGAGTAGAATATAGTTAAAAAATCACAATTGTTTTATTTTATGTCTAAATTTATTATAGGAATCTAATATATTTACAATAGTAGAATCAGAAGTTGTATCCATTTCATTCTTCTTGCCTTTGTTATTTAGTTTAAAGTCGAGCTATTTTCTGTTTATTAATTATTGCAAGGGTACAAACATTTTTAGGGATTTTAATTTATCTACATTATGTTAAGTACATAATGAATAAGAACATACCATGAACAGTTCATAACTTTGTGGTAGGTGTATTATATTCTATAGGTGTACTATTAAATTAATTGTACTGTATTTAAATTTTTGGTAAATTATAATTATATTATTATTATTATTATTATAAAAGTAATACGAATCATTTTTTAGTCATAAAATATGCTTAGTTTAACTAAATTACCTTCTTTGATAATCTCGCGTCGTTTTAGCCTATTTGCAGCTTTTCCTTTTCGCTTGGATTTCTGATTCGTTTCTTCATCAGAAATAGGATCGTCTTCATCAATTTCTGAAGGTACATCGTCTACTTTCTCATTAGGAATATAATCTTCGTCGCTAGAATCGCTGTCTTGTAAGTCGGCAACATTCATGTTGTGATGTTATTGAGGTTAACTAGCTTTTTCTTTTTAAGGTTAATTAAATTATGTAAAAATTGTTTTGCCTAAAAATATCTATGAAGGACACAATTCATCTTACTGAGCAAATTTTAATAAACTTTAAGAATTATTAATATTTACTTTTTTATTTTTACAAAACTACACGATGACATATGACAGAACAAAGGATGACAGATGACTTTGACCACTGGAGTGCGTTTAGAAACCACGCACGGCGCGTCTGGACCCTATTCTAATGTACGTGGTCAGGCGCGCCGTACGAGGTTTCTAAACGCACTCCAGAACACTTACTCTACTTTGACAGTGAACTAAACGAATATGGCGACAAGTGTTTCCGGTCTACCAGTGACGTACTGTTATAAAAGGGCGTAGAAAAGAAAATAATAAATTCTCATTTGCATATTATCTAAATTTACCGATTTCATTTGAAAAATCAAAGCAATAAAAATATTGACTCTTTACGTCTTTATTATGACAATGACTTTATTGATCTACATTTTACAAATTATTAAGGTTTGAAAAATAAATATATTTTGAAGATATGCGTTAAAAAAAATTAAATATCCTATAATTATATTTCACCGCTGTGATATTTCTTTCTTAGATATTTTTGTTGGAGTACATATAAAACTTCCTAATATTGAAGAGAATTTCTAATCATTTTATTACATAATATTATTAGTAATATTTTTTGCAGGACAATTTTGCAAAAGCAGGTAAAACACCTTTCCAAGAAAGGATCTTATAACATAATAATGATTGTATGATTGCAAAATATATTATTTTCAAATATACATTCAATGCATTATTTGTATGCTTAGTCCAGTTATGATGAGAGTCAATTTGTACTCTAAGGTATTTGTCTGTCACCATTATATAAAATTTAGTTTTAAGGGCCGATTCCACTGCTGTGTTAAACGAAGTTTAAATTACTAAATGAAGAATAAACTTACATTTTTACATTAACAATGTCATTTTAATCTAAAATTATTTAAAATAGGTAAGGTACATATACTCGCTACTCGATTTTTTTACGAGTCCTCCCTAAAATATGCAAAAGTACTCATTTGCTTTGAATTTTATTTTTATATAAGTACTCATACACAGATCCTTATGAGTACCTTGTAAAGCTACTCTTGTAAAGTACTGAGTACTTTACGCAGTACTCTGTCCAGTTCTGCTTAGATCATAAGACGTGTGCGGTGAAATCACCTTTTACTGTATTAAAATGTGAAATGATATATGCTCAATCTATATATTATACCTCTATGGAACAAATTAAAATTAGTGATTATGAAATGACAAAGTTGGTGTCACTGCGTTTTACTGATTTAATTATTGTACTCTTTCTAACTCATACAAATATATATTTTTTGTTCAAAAGAGAACTGAAATGTTTTTTATTGCGCCTTTACTTTTTATAAGTGTAAAAACTACTTTATCTCGCAGTAAAGCCAACATTATAAATCTAACAATTGTTATTAACAAAGACAGGAAATCTATGTTATAAGCCTTGTAGTAAGAGATAAAACATCTTAGTTCGTAGAAAAGTCGAAAACATGTTGGTTATCCTGTCTTTGTTGTTTCATGTTTCTCATCTTTCATCGTGCGAAACTGCGAGGGGAGAGTGGTAAGGCGGCCATAATCAAACAAAAGTGTTTTTAAGAAAATGAAGGACATTTGACGCCTTAATTTCGTTTTTAAGTCATTTTAGTGGCGATTGTTAAAAAAAGGTATACAGATGAGCGCTAAATTAGATGTAAACAGACGTGTCTTAGCTATTCAAGCTAAAAAGAAGAGACACAAGCCTGCAAAAAAGAAAGGCAAAAACGACATGAACGGCCACGGAGGAGAAAATCGGCACAATTCAAAGGCAGAACCTTCTCATAGCTCGAGTAATGAAACGATCGCTGATCCCGATGAACCTTATACGAGCGAAGAAGAGGAACAAGAGGATAGCACCGATTATCGCAAAGGAGGTTACCATCCTGTCAAAATTGGCGACCTGTTTCTCGGAAGGTATCATGTAACGAGGAAACTGGGTTGGGGTCATTTCTCTACTGTGTGGTTGTGCTGGGATCTCGACGATAAAAGATTCGTCGCTCTGAAAATCGTAAAATCCGCCGATCATTTCACCGAAACCGCTTTGGATGAAATTAAAATTCTCAAAGCTGTTCGTGAGTCCGACCCCAATGATCCCAAACGCAATAAAACCGTTCAGCTCCTTAACGATTTCAAAATTAGCGGCGTTAATGGGGTGCATGTTTGCATGGTTTTTGAAGTTTTAGGCCACCACTTGTTAAAATTAATCATAAAGTCCAATTATCGGGGGATTCCTTTGGCAAATGTTCGTACTATAATGAAACAGGTGAGAGATTGCACACAATTATGTCCTTACAATTCATTTAATATAGATGTTTAACAATATTTAGGTGAAATATATTTTTTCATAATTAAATAGGTATACATAGTACTAACAAGTGTATATCTTTTAAACTCTGTATAGGTATTTATACATTTTTTTATGTAGGTATATAGGTATGTTTATCTAGGTCAAGATCAATTATGGATAAGTGACATTTATCAATATCAGCATTCAACATTTATCTCTCAAAAAGTTGCTTTTGAAGTAAAATATTATTTTTTAAATTTTGATAGAATTATTGCAGGTTCTTCAAATGCAAGGTCTATTGCATTTGAAACAAAATTGTTAATTGAGTCATCTACTTGCAATACTGGCTACATCCATTTCAGCAAATCATTTGTTTATAAGCAAAACACCCTGGTCAATTTTTTTATTTATGACTTATTTACATCCTTTGACTGGATTTCTTCCGCTCTATATACTGGTAAAATCCACTATGTGCTCTAAGAATTATAACCAAGGTAATATTCTTTTCTGAATATATAGATATGTTACATTGTACCTATTAGATATAATTTTAGGAAAAAATTAAAAAATCCTTGAAATTTGTTAGCATATTTGAATTACTCTATATATTCTCAGAAAGACTTTCTTAGGCCAACATAAAATAGCATACATTTCTATTTTGTAAAATTAGTCCTAGACTGAACAAGTATTCTTACAATCCAAATCTAACTTAAACATTTGCAAACTCTGTTAAATTTAAAAATACCTATTAAATCATAAAACTTATTCTAAATTAATCCATTGAACATTTTTGTAAAATTATTGTTAAGAAATCATAAAGAAATTCATGAATTTGTCCATGTGAGCTTAACATCTATCAATTTTTTTCATGAACTAATTGTCAGTTTTTCTTGCTAGATGAACTAGATAGTCCTTACAGTCAGCATTTGCTACAATTTTCGTTAGCAAGGAAAACTGACAATTAATTTATGAAAAAATTGATAGATATTTTAAGTCCACATGGATAAATTCATGAATTTCTTCAAGGACAAGTTAAAGTGACTGATTCTTACTACTAGTTGCATTTTAAAAGGAATTTCATACATAAACTAGTCAATGAATCTTTTATTTTGTTCACAGGTACTGGAGGGTTTGGACTATCTACACACCAAATGTAAAATTATTCACACTGATATTAAACCAGAAAATGTTTTACTCTGTATATCAGAAGAAGCAATTAGGAGATTGGCGTGTGAAGCAGCCGAAATGCATCAATTAGGTATGAAACTTCCTACTTCCTTAATCAGTACTGCCCCAATTATAGAAACCAAGTTGAGTAAAAACAAGAAGAAAAAACTGAAAAAGAAGGCCAAAAGACAAAATGAATTGTTAAAGAAACAGATGGAACAAATTATTGAAATTGAAGAACAGAAGAAGGGGAAGGAAAATGGAGATATAATTGAAATTAGCGATGTAAATGTTAATGGTGATACTGAGTTCAATGGTACTTCTCCATCTCACAGGTATATTTAATATTTTCTTATTACAAGTTTAAGAATATTTATATATTAAAAAATACTAGTGTTTTATTTACCTTGTTCCTGCTATTTTTGTTTTTATACATATATAAAAAATTATGTAAGTATCCTTTTTTTGGTTAATAATAAACTTTTGAAACAAATCTAAAAAATTAAAAACAAATTGGTGGATAATTTTCATCTGATACAACTAAAAAAATATGGTTTTTTGTTACAAAAAATAAAAGTTTTTTTGTTCTATCTACACTTTCAGTAATTTTTTTTCTGGAAAAGCATTCGAACCAAATTTCCTCTAATTTTCCTGGAAAATTTGCATGTAATTAGCTTAATAGGATAATTCAATGAATATTTCTTACTCTTGTAAAAACACTTTAATAATACCCAGAGGCATAGCCAGGAGAGTGACATAGAAACATTTCCCCTTTTGAAAATTTTTAAATACACATTTTTATAATTGTTGCAAAAAATTAAAAATATACACCTCCAGAAACTTAAGACCTTTCCCTCTAGGAAAACCAAATTTTAATATAGTTCATACTTTTTTTTAGGCAAAAATTTGAACAGTTATCAAATTCAATACATTGTTATTCAATGAGATATTTTTAAATTATTACATATACCAAACAAATATTTACCTAATTGAAATTAATTCGCTAATGAATATTGAAAAATTAATATTAAATAATTCAATAAGATTTAATCAAAAATCTGTAAGAGGTCCCAATACATTCTCCATTTTATTTACTAAAAGAAATGGTCTTAATAAATATATTATTGAACTCAATTCAATTTATGTATTTATCCGTATTTTTCATTCATTTTTTTTATTTAAAATCAGTTTATAAATAAACATTTTTCCTTTTTACTTTCCTACAGATATAAGGAAAGTATAGGAATCATGATTTTTTTCGACTTCGAGTTTTTGTTGGATTTTTACGTTTTGAGGTCCCCTGAATCCGTTTTGCCTAGTTTCGCGATGATGTCTGTGTGTCGCATAACTCATGAACCGATACGCGGAAAAACACCAAATTTCAAACTTAAGCTTTGTTCCAGCGTCCAATGTGCTGATTAGATTTTGGGCAGTGTCGGAACATCTGGGGGGGTACTTTATAGGTGGTCATTTTTATATTTTATGGAATATATCTGTAATTTACGTTTGGGGAAGAAAATTCTTCAAATAAAAGTTACTACTTATATTATTATCTATAATTTTTGTTCTATACAAAATTTTCCTAAAATGGTCCGTATTCGAGAAATTTGACAAAATGTAAAAAATTATTTTTTTATAAAAATTGTTCAAACAAAAGTTGTTTGTAATATAATTCTCTACAATTTTTATCCTATACATAATTTCTCTAAAATAGACCGTATTCGAGATATTTGAGAAAATGTGTAAATTTCGAAATTTGAAGAAAACTCAAAAACGGATAAAGAAAAAAACATTAAATTTTAAACTTGAGTTTTATTTTGGCCTGACGTGAAATGATTAGATTTTGGACAAAGTCGGAACATCTGGGGGGGTACTTTATGGGAGGCCGTTTTTATATTTTATGGAATATATCTGTTATTTATGTTTGGAGAAAAAAATTGTTTAACTAAAAGTTACTTCTAATATTATTATCTATAATTTTTGTTTTATGTAAAAATTTCCTGAAATGGTCCGTATTCCAGAAATTTGACAAAATGTGCAAAATTCTGATTTTTATGAAAATTTTTGAAATAAAAGTTGTTTGCGATATCGATCTCTATAATTTTTGTTCATACATGATTTTTCTAAAATGGCCCGTAATGGAAAAATTGTAGGAAAAGCGCTAAATTTAAATTTTTCAGTATTTTCGTTTTCAATGAATATCTATAGAAAAATGTTTCGAGGTAGATGTATGTGGAAAATGTATATATTTAGTTTATCCTCCTCTAAACATTTATAGAGGTGCTGCAATAGGTTGTACAAAATAACCGAAAAAGCCTGTAATAACTAGATAGGAAAGTCATGTGTTGGACACATCAGATTTTTATTATGACTATTATTTTCTTTCGCGGAGCCCTTACAAAAACAAAGGTCCTCCAAGCAAAATCATATCCTTCTTCCTCTTACTGACTTCTAAAAAAAGGTCCTAGAAACAAAATCATATCCTCCTTCCTCTTATTGACTTCTAGGTGGGGGTTGGTTGTAGTTTAGCCATTGTTTTGTAGCTTAGATTGCTTGCTTGTGGGAGAACAAAAGAAAGAGGTGAAAGGAGACGAGAAGAGGAGCACCATTGCTCCATCTTCTCTATCCCCTCACACATCAGATTTTTTAAATATCAGATTTGTGTTTGCTAAATAGAAAATTAAGTTTATTTTTAAATTATGCCACAAATATACATGCAAACCATAAAGAATATTGTATTATCCTATTATTTTTAATTGATCTATTTTTTATCATCATGAAAACCAGACCAGCTTGTCAAATTGCTGACTGACGATTTAAATTGATTAACTAAACATTTACAAGAATTATTATCACCAAATTTTCTTTGTAAAGGGGGCAAAGCAGTATGTTTATAATTATTGTTTTTATGTTTATAAAATATTGTTTTTCTCTGTACAGAATGGTGCAAAATTTAAAAGAATTTATTATTTAGTAAATAGTTGACTTCCAAATACGAGTAGACCAGTGATCTAATTAAAGGATACAATTTAATTTAGCTAACCATAAGAAAAAAAATAATTTTTGAATTTACTTTTTAATGACGACAGGTATAGGAAAGTTTATGAGGAAGTTAAAGGGTATAAAATTCGCTCTCCCTTGATAAATAGTGATACAGGGTGTTCCATTAGAAAAAATTTCTTTTGAAATTTTTGGAAAACAAAATTAATTTTTTTACTACCCTGTACAAAATAAAAAATTTAAGCTTTGTGTAAAAAAACTTTGGTCTATTGGCTTTATATATTTGTAGTTTTTTAAATTTCAATGGTAAATCAGAGAGCAAAGCATTTTTAAATAAAAGTATGAAAATAGGTACTATTTTTTTTTTTTTTTTTTTTTTTTTTTTGAAAGAAAAACTATTGTAATATATATTAGTGGCTAAAAAAAATTGATGCATTCCTATGATTTTGGCCTGTAAGACCAGACTATTATTTTCCATGTATACTTTTTGATCGTCATTCTATATAAGGCTACATTAATTATTTTTACTTGCAGTCCAGAAACTACTCCCGAAACAGAGGTCAAACTCGACAACGGTTGCATCGATGATCTTGGGGGCGGCGAGGCACCAAGAGAAGCGGCGCCTCAAGATGACAGTCCATTAACTGAACACATGTCTGAAGACGATTCTATGCCATTGAATTCCAATCAAGAGAAACGAGACCTCGATCCGACCTTTGTAGCCTTCGTAGAGTGTACTTTTGATGTGAAAATCGCCGATCTTGGAAACGCTTGTTGGGTGGACAAACATTTTACCGAGGACATCCAGACAAGGCAGTACAGATCTTTGGAAGTACTGTTAGGAGCAGGTAAGACAAATTATTATCAAAGAAGTATCTCATTTTATTATCTGCAAACCATTTACTTTCATTGCTGATATCTAGCTAAAGCAAATCACAATCAGGTTGTATTTTGACAACTTTGCAAAGTTTGAAATCATCTGCAAACAAAGTAGTGGAGTTAGAGAGGCAATCAAACCACAAAAAAAAAAGAAAGGCCCTAAATTGTTTTCCTACGGGACGCCTGAAGTTGCAATGTTTGTTTTGGATTTACACTTGCCTTTTTTAACCCATTGGACTCTATTTGAAATGTATGATTTTATAAAATAATAAACATCTTCTGCTATGTCCAGCTCCTTGAGTTTACTAAGTAACTTTGTGATTCAATTTATAATAATAATTGACTGATAATTATTAACAAATAATGAATCTGATCAAACAAGTTCAATATTTTTGTTTGAACACCCAATAAGAGGTTTTACAGTATGCTTTACATCACTTACTGTGCCCTAACTGGGTATATTTTACCACATCCATTACAATAATGGGTTTTTACTTTCCAAGCCCTAGTTAAACGTTCTAGGGATGCAAAAAGATTTTGTTTTGAGGTTAGAAATTTATTTTTGCAGGTTACAACACTTCAGCTGATATCTGGAGTACGGCTTGTATGGCCTTTGAATTGGCCACCGGCGATTACCTATTCGAGCCCCATTCCGGTGAAGACTTTTGCAGGGACGAAGACCACCTTGCCCACATCATAGAACTATTAGGAAACATACCCAGGAAGATAGCCCAAAGCGGTAAAAACTCGAAATTGTTCTTCAACAAAAAGAATGAGCTTCGTCACATAACCAATTTAAAACCGTGGTGCATGGAGGATGTTCTGATGGAGAAGTACGATTGGAGTAGGCAGGATGCAGAGGAATTTGCAGCTTTTTTAAAGCCTATGCTCGATTTTGATGCAAACAAAAGAGCCACAGCTGCCGATTGTCTAACACACCCATGGTTAAATATTAAATGAGCCAAAGCTCTCTAGGTGACTGATTCGTATAATTTTTGCTTACATTTTGGCATAATAGTGCAAAATTACATTTCTCAGAATTAATTGATGCATTATGTCCAAAACATCCGTTTTTAATTTATTAATTGGTTCGACTGGGCCCTCATTTAATGTACATAGCATTTGTAATAGAAAAATTGTGATGTATGTGTTTTATAGACAATATAAATGTCCTCCTTAGGATTCTGTTTTATTACTGTCTGTCTGTTTATGGGCGATGATTAAATAGCAGTCTATCCAAACAAAAAAGTAACAAAACATAACTAAATAATACTCGAAATGTCTAATTAATAACTGTATATTAGAATAGGTTTATGATAAATGGCTACATATTTTTTTAACTTCTGACTTTCTTGAAAATATTTTATTTACTTTTTTATTACTTCTGTACTGCAGGTCATTTGAACTACTTCAGTGAATTAAATAATTTAGTTCATTTGAATTACTTCAATTGAGTATTTCATTTGAACTACTTCATTCAGCAAATTAACTAGTTTGGTTGGTTTCCAACACAATTCCAAAATAATGTAAATATTCCAATTGTCTTCAAAAGAGGTGTAGAAGCGAACGATCTTTTTGTGGCACAGTGACTGGGAATTTGAATTTCCTATGTCATCTCCTCCTTTTCAATTACCTCGGGCAAGATGTTATGAGCTAATGAATGTTCTAAAATAGTTTTGAAGAAGATTATGCCAGAGGTAATTCGAAAGGAGGAGTTGACACAGGAAATTCAAGTTCACCAGTCACTGTGCCACAAAAACACTGTTCGCTTCTACATCTCTTTTAAAGATGAGTGGAATATTTACATTATTTTGGAATTTTGTGGAAAAAACGTAAGTACTTACATTTTTTGCAAAATTCCAAAATAATGTTCTTGGTTCTTTGCATTCGAGGGATTGAATGATGAATTACTTTTTATTCTGTTATTTTCTGCCCTATGATCTTGATGCATTGTTTCTTTTCCCTTCAGTGTATAGAAAATTATTTTCATCTGCCAATTTTCAAAACAACATCCATTGTACACTTAAGTCGATTTTGAGTAGTTCACAAACTGCAATATTATCCCTAATTACCATTTTCTTGCAAAATTATCCTTTACTCAAAGAAAATATTTCTGCATTCTGGGTTATATTCTTTTTACAAATAAATTAAAAAAGGTAGAAGAAGTTAAAGTCATTTGTTGTTAAACATAAAATTTGTAGTCGTTTATAAGCACTTTAATTGGAAGAAAAATGGTTTTCATTGTATGTCTCTTTAAAATAAATTTATGAAATCAGCTTAATGTGCCATTTTCTTTATCTAAAAGTGAATGATTTTTTTTTAATACTTTTGAATTCTGGAAAATTCGATATTATGGCTGTGAATGCTTAAAATAGAGTGATGTGTGAATCATGTTAAAAGTAGATGTACCCAATGTAAGGTAGAAAAGTGCTCTTAAAAAATACAACACGTTGTTGTTAATGCTTTTAAAATAGTGAATGTATGTGTTTTCTTCCATTTGTAATTTTAAATTCCTTTTTGGATGTAGAATTTAATGTGCACTATGTATACCATTACTAATAATTTTCTTATAGTTGCAAAAAATGAAAAATAGTTTTTACAGAATGATGTTAATTATAAAAAGAAACAATAATTTTGCTTATCATATAAAAAGCTGCCAGTTTTTCAGTTTTTTACACAAATTTCCAATAATGTTTACAATAAGGCCTACAGGAGACAAAATGGTTGACATCATTCAGTAATTACATTAAAACTAATTAATTAATAAATACCAATTTTTTTATCTGCATCAGTACCACTACTGTATAAATTCTAAATTTGTTTTATCATCATTTTTATGAAACGTGTCTACTTGTTCTATATTTATCTTATAATATTAATTTTAAGAATTAGTTTTTAAATTTGCTATTCCCACTTTTACCACCATCAATCGAGGAATTGAATAACACTTTTTTTCCAAGGAGCTTTCTGTAGATTTTTGTTTGTAAAATTGTGGATAGATTGTTATTTGATCAAAATTCACGTACCGCTTATTGAAGAAGAAAAAAATGTATTAAGTAGATGAAAATCTGTGAAACGTTTTATATAGAAGGGGGAACAATTATAATTGAGTCTATTGGATTCTAGATTTAGAAAACAATTAATTAGAGTCAGTGACTTGTGTCATGAAATTCCATACTAGAAGCACCAATATTTATATGAAACAAAAAAAAAAACCTATGGGAATTATTATATACAATATACAATGTACATTGAATCTCTCAATAATTATAAGTAATTCTTATCTTTGGTGTTTCATTTAAAATTTTAGTTTTGGGTAAATATTTCGTCTAAATAGTGACAAAAGCATAAAATTTAAAAACGCTACTAAATTCGTTGAAAAATTGAATTTATACAGGGTGCGAAAAAAATAGTTCAGGATTTTGTTTTATCTTTTTGTCAAGATTAGATGAATATTATATTCTTTTATGGGCAATATTTTTTTTTACTATTTCCCAGTTTTTGTTTAAATTATTCTGATTTTTTTATTACTATAGCCATTGTATTTAGATAGCCTAATAGGCTGACAATTATCTTGGAGAACAATGAACAGTAGCAATAGATGGCAGCAAGCTCCATCGTTTCAGAGTCATGTCTTTGATAATTTTGTCGTCTTCTACTAGGCTATCTAAATACAATGCTATGACGTTTGAAATGACTGAACTCCCTAGAAAAATAAAAATGTTTCTTTTTATATTTATTTTTTAGTTTTATTTTTTATTACTTTATAAAAGGACCTTTTACTTTATGATAAATCGATTCCTAAAGTTTATGACGTCTCAAGGTAAGTAATTTAATTTTATGTTCTGCAATTTTCATATTTTTGTAAAATTTGACGTTTTTAGCCTACAATAGTCGTATCAGTTGACAGATCGATTTAAAATTTACCAGTTTCGTTTCAACCATAAACAATATCTTTCTCACCATGTCCAACTTAAATGTTTTTTAAATTGAATTCATAGTTTGGAGTAAAATAAAAAGTTGCATTTGTATTTGTAGATTTCATACTTAGTTTACATTTGGCAACTGCGCAAAGGTTCAGAATTGTACAATTAAAATGGTTCAAGATTGTATCAATCTTTTAATAATAATATTTATTCGGCTTTGAGACATACATATTAATATTTTAAAAAGGTTAAAAAATGTATAAACATATAAGACCTATTAGCCTTGTCAACACATACAATTTTAAAAAGTAGAGACGCTACAATTGAGTTTAAAATTAAGTACAAATTAAAAATAGTATACAATAAAGATATATTATTATGGAACACCGAGTATAATTCATAAATTCTGCATAGGAATAATATGTTTTGGACGAAAGATATGCATAAAACTTATTTTTCATTACTATTGACTTGAATATATCTATTAAAACTTGCAACACCTCTGTAGATTTCGAAAATCTATCCAACTGAGAGTCTAGAGAAACACTTCTGTAGATATTTGTGATTGTGTGTCTACAATGTGATAGTTGGGATTCCTGTTTTTTTATATTAAGTATATATGCAAAGATGGAAGTGTTAGGATTTTAAAGTCATGAAAAAGTTGTTCTTGAAACCCCAGCCATGCATCTTATAACTTTTTTTTTGTACACAGAAGGCTCTCTCCAGATGAGCTGAGTAACCACAAAAAATTAGACCGTATGAGATAAGTGATTCAACAAAACCGAAATATGTTAATTTTAAAACATCGGGATTTATAGTTTATTTGATACATGATCTACATGGTTCTCCCACGTTAACTTGCTGTCTAGAATTAGACCTAAGAATTTGCCCGAATTTGTTTGTATCAATAATTGATGATTTAGTTCAGTATTTCTCAAAGTGGTCCAGGTGGACACCCAGGGGTCCACGGGAGACTCGACGGGGGTCTACGTTGGGCGTAATAAAAAATAGGGGTCCACAATCGTAATCGGGGGTGAATGAAAATTAATTTGGTTTCGATAGTGTAGCAATATACTTTTAAACAATTCTTCAGATTTGAAGATATTCTGTTGATGGAAATACCACCATGGATCATAAATCCGTTTGATGAAACGGAAGTGGAGAATGTGATATTACAAGAGGAGCTACTCGAGCTTAGCACTAATGAGAAGCTAAAAGTGACATTTAAAAAGAGGGTATCAAAAATTTTGGCTGCAGGCAGAAATACCTGAAAAATATCCTGGACTGTGGGAAATTGTTCAAAAGCTTCTGATAGCGTTTCCCTCGTCATATCTCGTCGAAAAAAGTTTTAGTGCCGTTACAAACTTTATTAACAAAAAAAAAAGGAGCAGATTGAATATCACAGAAAGGGGAGATTTATGGTTATTCCTTACAAAAATCAAGCCAAATATTGATAATTTGCTGTCAATCCATCAAGTACATATCCCCCTCATTAAAATTATTTATATTTTTTGTAATTACTATTGTTGAAATTACATTACGTTATAAGTGTTTAAATTTAATTATATTACGACGGTTATAACAATAATAATTTATATATTTAAATAAATACCTACAACACAAGGAAATATACTATATTTCTTTTTACCACTCCGAATGGAACGTTTTCTAAATAAAATTTGTGAGAATTGATTGGTTCATTGTGCTGTGTCACTGTAGATTTCAAAAAATGTAAAAGCATTGTTGAAATAGTACAAAAAAGTCGAATAAAAGATGTTAAATTTGTTATTGAACTCAGATGCGTTATACATGTCTTCCCATGACTTGTTAATAATTATATTTTTAAAGATACAATATAGATTAAATGTATTCATCCCACTTTATTATTTTTGGGTGATTCAGGTTTGATAGAACCTCCAATTGGCTTGGCAAGGAATTTATGCAGAGATCAGGGAGAGAAAAAAATAAAACTCGCATATTATCGTAGTTTATTTTTAAATTTTTAAAGTAAAAATACAATATTGACTTAGGCATTACAACTTTTTCCTTATTCTAGAACATTTGGTTTATGTACAGTGCACAATATATACAAAATAAGATTTTCTAACTACATTTGCGTACTTACACATTCTTACTCCTTGATCACTTTTATATAAGTATATAACGATAGAAAAAAATCTATAGGTACTATATTATTTCATACCTATACAACTGCAAGCTCTATTATTTTGACACAATTCAATTATTACAATAGAAAAATCCAACAAAAACCCAAACTGGGACCGTGAAATATAAAACTATAATAAATCAATTTCCACTAGAAATATCGAAATTGATTCTGGGAGTAATAACTCAATTTTTCCTAGACAATGACATTTATGTACACATTTTTTAGAAAATAACAGTTTTTAAAAGTTCTGCGCCATTTTGAAAACTGCCAAAATAACAAGAAGCCTATTTGCATATAGCACCATCACATTTACAATATCTAATTTCTTTTTAAATAGTGCTGTAGTTGGTGATGTGAAACTTTGTGCAACTTTAGAAAAAACATTTTTTTGGTCACTGTAATGAATGTTAGAGGCTAATTCAACTAGAAAACGCGTGTGATAGTGTGATGGTTCCGAATATACCCGACAAGAAATAATAGAAAATATAGCAGTCTTGAAGATCTTTTAACAAGGATTTTTGAGGCTCAATATCACAATACATTAACAAAACAAAGTTAAGGTTTGTTTCATTTAAACTGAAATATTGTTTTTGGTTTTTTCAACTTCAAGCAGGCATCTCTATTTTGGTTTGGTTTTTTAAACCTTTGAAAATAAAAATCTCTGCGACATAATTTTATATATATTTACAGTGACTTTTTTAACTTTGTATATTAAAATTACGTAGCATATCCGTAATGGATATGTCATGGCAAGTAAAATTAATATCCTCTCCCTTTTGTTCCTTTCAATACATTATTTTAAATTTGGTCACGTGGAATAGGGGTATTGTTCTATGTTTTTGAGGCTGCTGAACACGAATGTGAACTTTGCCATCTTACATTTTTATAGGAAAAATATATAAGAAAGAATGTGAAAACCACATGACTATCCAGTAAAGTAGGATATTTCCCAGACAGAGTCTTCGCCATTCATTCCCTTCCTCCCTCTTTATACTATAGTAACCCTCTCCTCCATGGCTCCACTTTTAAAGTCCTGTTGACCTTACAAACCTGATGATATTGGAGGATATTTTTGGTGATTTTAAGGATAAAAAATAAATAAATATACTCGTCGAATGGAATTTTCAGACTATTAAATATAATAATAAACTTTCTTACAACGACAAAACGGTTTAAAAATAATTAATAAAATTATTGACTAGTAATATGATGCCCAGCTACAAAGATAGCTAGCTGCCTTTAAAAGTATAAAATTTCCAAAATTCTATTTGATGTGACTAGTAACATATCTGTGATGGTATTTAGTATTAAAGAGGTGTATTTAAAATTATTGTTTTTATCTTTTTTACCAAATCTCTTATTTATGAGTTGTTTAAACGTTTAAGGAAGAATTTTCTTTATATAATTTTGATTTATTACATTCCTTCAGGAATTTTGGTACAAAATATAAAGCAGCAAGACGTACACACATGAAAATACGAAAGAAAATATGCTGAATGTAATTTCAAGTTGAGTAAATGAGTAAAAAAAGACATGCCAATGAAAACATTTTCATATGAATAATGAGGGAAATGTTATGGTTTTAATTTAATTTTCAGTGTCATGTTAATTGCTGATTTTTAGGTAAAATAAACTCCTAAATGCGAATATGATCCCCCGTTTTCCCCCCATAACCCACCTTACGCACTTATTTTTATCACTTTTTTGATCATTTGGAGGAATTAGAGAGATGAAGTTCTAAATATTTGTAGATAGGAGGTAAGTTTGGAGGAGATTTGCCCTATAAATTGATATATGTCCTCCTTTAATCTAACAAAAAAAGGGAAAGAACTAGGAGTTTGTTTAAAAATGTTGATGCAGTTTCTAATTACAGCCATTTTCGTTTGACCACCCCGTATAAATGAAATAAGAGTCACAATCCGATAAATAAATTCAGATTGTTAGGATCAAACTCTTATCCTCAATATTTAAATTAAAAAATCGTATTTTTCGTTTCTAATTTTGGTTTGTATATATAATTATACTCATAATTACACAAGAGATATTTAATTAAACAAATATAATATCTACAATATAATACACATTCATTTTTACATTATTTATCGATATCTAGTTCCATAACCACTCAAAATTTACTCATGGAAGGCACATTATTGTTTCATTATTTTACACAAAAAAAAATCAGAAGGAATTAGCAATTATTTTTTCATTTAACTAAAGGCCTGAAACATTGATAATTACATATTGGTATTAGACCTTGCATTTATTGCAATCATATGGTACCTTTTTCAATTTAATAACTTTTTTTATTAGTTATGAATCTAGACATCTTTTCTTCTTAAAATAAAATATATCACAGCAAAAAAGGTACGTTACTTCGCTTTCTAGTACCAAATATTTGTCTCTTTTGTGTAATTACTTTGTTTTCATTTTCGCAATCCATCAAATGAAATAAATTTGACTATATACTTTTAAAGTTTAGAATGTCGACTTGAAACTTTTATCTACAATTTTTCTAGGTTAATTTTATAAAAAAATTAATCAGAATAAACACATTTTGGAACTTAATTACAGGTTTGGTTCCTTACCAAGTGAAACAATGCTTTTTTTACTTCCAGTTTTTAAGCCATTTAATTTTTAAAATTGCCCCTTAAACTACTAGTTGATATATATTTAAATTTTGTAACTATCTATTTAGGCTAAAAAGGTGAGTATGGAAAATATTAAAAAATAAATTACTACATAAAAGTTGTTTTTAGCCTAAAGGATATGTATTTTTGTATATTTTTAAAATCAAAAAGGTTATTTTTCAAAAATTAATAATTTTGGGACAATTTTAATAATCCCAAACAATTCAAAAGCAAAAAACGGCGATCGCGAAAATAAATAACCCTGAAACGAACTTAAAACTGTGATACCAAAGACAGATTTCCAGGTCGATCCAAAATAAATTTCATTCTAAAGCAATGCACAATGCTTCATCAAAATGTACCACCTCACTGCGTGGACTTGCATGTATTATTTATCCTATTAATTACAATGTTGCCAAAATTCTCGTGAAACCCATACACCCAGTTAAAATAGTCTGACCACATCCCCAAAAGAGAGCGTACAGTGGATTCATTGGTAAACTCGATGCTCTGTATACGAATGCAATTGCAGCGCTACTCACGACGCCGGTTATAGCAGGCGTCACCACGCCCATGACTAGTATCGCAATTGGAAAGAACTTGCCGAATTTGTGTTTCCTGAGGGTTAGGAATGCTATAAGTCCAGCAATCTACAACAGAACTTCAATTACATATCAAGAACTATCAAAAAAACATTGTTTATAGTAGACATGGGTAAACGGCGGCACTCGAGAAAGATTTATCTGGCCAGCTATTGAATTTTAACACTAAATTTGTAAAAAGAATATTCAAGATGCTCGGGCCATCCGTTATACAAGAAGCACCTGTGGTGTCAGTCTGTCTTAAGATCAGTTTGGAAGTACAAAAGTCACGAAAATACTTGGACCAAAAGAAATATTCTGCTCTTCTAATCAGAAAAGTTGTATCTGCATTTTTGGTCGTATTGGAAGTAATTCGACTGTAGCATGTCATATTATTAATGTATAAAGTCATCTGCAGCAGAAATACTTACATGTAAAGGCATAAGCCCTCAGAGCGACGTATGTTAAATTTTTTGAACTATTTTTTTTACCAAATTTTTAATTATTTTGCTCCTGTTGTTACCGAGAAACATTAGCTATGTTGGCTTAATACTCAAGGATTTTTTTTATTGTTGTAGACTTCTAGAAGCATATTATTTCATTGCAAAAAAATGAAAAAATCCTTTGATAAGCAATCTTACTTTGAATTTGACAGGTTACACTACAGCTCCAACCACTGGGACATAGTACATGTTGTTCAGTCACCTCTTCAGTACCCAACTACAAATAGCAAGCAAAAAACATGACATACCACTTTTTGCAGTGAGCTGAGGGACTACATTAACATTATTAGTTGCAGGGGCGGCTCGTGAACAAAATTTTGAGGGTTCACAGTAGCAGAATATAGATCTCGGTATAGATACAGGTAAAAAACTGTCAGTGTTTTAGAAAGGTATATTATAAACTTTCTAATACATCTGTACTAATATCTATATTATGTCACTGTGAACCCCCAAAATTTTGGTTACAAGCCGCCACTGATTAGTTGTATTGTTAGATAAAATGTTTATGCTTAAAACAGAATCCTTTGATTTCCTAGGGTTGTTAAATTTTGCCAGACCTAGGTGCCTTTCTTCCTACTAAGCAAAATCAAAACTAGAGTATTAAAAATTATTTTCTATTTCTGCTGTCTCTTTATAGATTATTTATTTTAATGCCTGTCCAGGTATTAGCCTAGGGAGTATTAGTTTTCTGTATGGAAATGATCATTCATATTTTTTGTGAATTCTTCATTCAATATATTATTTAATGTTGCAATAACAATTTTTTTATTATAACATACCATTTTTTTATTTATATAATTCAAATGCATGAATAAAAATAAACATGGAAATCTTAAATGTCTTCATGTAATAAATGCAAATTTAAAAAAAATGCTATTTGCATACTTCAAAATCTCTTACAAGCTCTAAATGTATCATTTGGGGCAACACACCATCCTCACGTTACAGATATGATGCCTTTGTACTTTCCTTTAATAACTAGTATCTGTAAATTCATGAATTATCTTTGTGAGATTTCGTTGCATTACTGTCAAGAAAAATCTCACAGAAAAACCTATTTTCTGGTAGTAGATTATTTTACTTTAAAACTGTTTGTTTAAATGGGCATATATTTAATGGCTCCTCCCAATATACTGAAAGGGAATAAAAATTAATTATATATCAAACCATTTTTATGTAAAAGTTCCTATGGCTATGTACTTATAAAGATTATTCCTATTTCTGAGTAGCTTAAAAATTCAAAACAATTGTTAATTTCATTTAAAATTAAAATAAGCAACAAAAAAATATATTTCAAATTGATTTTATTATTATTTCCTTTGCACATAATATTGTAAGACCTCATTATAATACAATAGCTTAAATAAATATTGACATTTCAGTGATTTCAAGTATTTACTTATTTGATAATACATGAATTCTCAGCCAAGCAATCAAAATTGAGTATATTCTGTAGAATGCTGATTAATTATAGATTAAATTCGTTAAAATATTAAAAAATAAAATAATGTTCCTCTGAAATTTGCATTGATCTTCTGTTTCACTGGTTTCATCCAAATAATATTGTTACAAATGATAAATACTAGGTATATTGTTCTTTATTATTAATATAAGGTTAAATGAGATAATCAGCTTTTCCAACATTTTTAAATCAATGAAAGCATACTTAATAAATGATTTACATCAATCCTATCCTTTTCTTTCAATAACTATGAGTGAGATTTTAAAAATAAACAATATTATAATTGTTTACAACTTACGGTATGGACAAATATTGATGAAAAAAATGCCCACAGGAAGACATGGTACCACATTTTGGTAAATGTATTGAGAGCATCAGCTTGCTGAAGCCAAAGCACTGTGCTCACTGAGTCCAGTTCAGAACTTTTGGACATTTTCACCACTATTTTTTCATAATATTCTATGTAACACTTTCAACTTTATAGTTTGGACCTTCCATTTTAAACTTTTTACGTCTTCTAAAATAAAAAACAAGTAATAATGAAACAATTTATGAACGAGTTTGTTTATATCAAGTAAATTAAAGGCCAATTAATTTTTTAAATGCTATAAAAATCGCACTTAACTACACAATTTAAAAATCTTTAATTGTTATTGTTTACATTTATGTAAAACTGTTCTTATATACTGTTCCAGAACTAGTATTGTGTTACGTGTGCGATTAATGATTAATCAGTAAATGCTTCAAAACTACATAATTTTCCTTAAAAGTACATATAACTAGGGTAAATGAGTAATTATGTTTTACTGGCGAATGAAATCTTATCTATAGTTTGTTTGGTAAAGCAGTCACTACTGGTTCAATAATTAATAAATACTGAACCAAAGGGACTTCGATTTAATACAATTCACTTTAAAATTCCTAAATTAACTCGATATTTTGAAAACTATTTGAAAAATAGCAATCAGGGTTTAGAGATTAGATATAATGAACAATTATTTATTTTAATGAAACACATACCCTCTAAAATAACAACGAATATCGCAAATATTCATTACATTTTCGTCCTTCTTAAGCGATTATTTCTAATTCCAAATATAATTCCTATAATTCCAATTATTCAAAATAAAAATAAACACATTCCATAAAATATTTGACTGACATTTATTAGAAAAAGTCAACAACTGACCTACCGACATGACAGATAGTGCCAGGAATGCCAACTGAAATTGATTTTAGAAAAAGGCCAATTTTAGCGAGATGTTTATGTGACTACTTTTATAATGATGTCACAATTTCTTATTTGTAATGAATTTCCAAATTTATTTACAATTTTAACCTAAAATTAAACCCCATTTATTAAAATGATATAAATATCTAAATTAAAAGCTATCAAAGACCTATTTTTCGATAAATTGCATTTTACAAATAACAGTCTCAGCGCCATCTGGTGTTAATCGTTAGAAATAATTTAATTTCTGTTTTGGAGGGAAATCGAATTACACATAACCGTTATTTTCATGTGTCGTTTGTTGTGGTGTCCATTTAAATCCCTTTAAATTCTTCACTTTGTTTATAGTTATATTTTTATGTTATTAAAACAAAAATATGGCTCAGCCTTCGATTGCGTGTTATTTTAATGCAAGGAAAAGGTCAGCAATTGAAGATACCAAAATAAATCACTCAAAGAAAGTATTAATTCTCGATGCAAATGAGCACGATGGCAGTGATGTGTTGTGTAAAAACGAATCAATCAACGTAATTAGATCATATTGTGATTTAAAAGATGTCTCATCATCTACAAAATTATCTGAATTACAAGAAAAGAAAAAAGTTGTTGGTGCGAATAAAATTGTAAGTAACAATTTCAATAAGCAGAAGCCAGTAAAAAAGATGGTGGCTACGAGGACCAAAGCCCTACGAACTCCATCCAATAATGGAGACATCCAAAATTTGTTCAATAACATGAAATCGGAGACAAGTAAAGTAACAGAAATCACTGTACCTAGAGAAATCACAAATCACATTACACCCCCAAACACCCCAACGAAAACCACTAACGCCTTGGACAAGGTGAGAGACAAGCCAGATGGGCCTTCCCTAAAGGAAATTAAAAGGAAAATGACAAGAAGCGCTCGCTTAGCTGAATTGAAAGCTTCTATAGGAAGATTCCAGGATAATGTGGTTAAGCTAAAAGAAATTGAAAAGAAAACTTCTGATATTCCTGAATCCCCAAAATTGAAAAGTTTCAGGACCATTGAGTTGGAGGTGCATACAAGGTAAGAATTGATAATTGTTTTGAAAGAATGTTTACTTTTTAAAGGTATTTTTCAACTGGTTTCTCAATATTTTTATTAAAATAAAGACATTTATTATTATTATTATTTTCAAATTTTGGATAAATGTTGTGTAGACACCAGTCGCGGCTCGTGGGATGATTCACAGTGACAGAATATAGGTATCAGTACAGATGTATGAAAAAACTTTCAGTGTTTTAGAAAGTTTATAATATACCTTTCTAAAACACTGACAGTTTTTTACCTATATCTGTACCGGAATCTATATTCTGCTACTGTGTACCCCCAAAATTTTGGTCACGAGCCGCCCCTGGTAGACACCCATTTAATGAAAATATTTTGTATAGTTATTTTTCAAATTTATTTTTATACTGCATTATAATTAAATTTGATAAATATATACATATAGCCTCGTAATACAGCTTTTTTTGGAGAAGGGGTGACCTAGACACGTCTGTTTTGTCATAGTCCTACTCCTCTAATCATATTTTTTTTAGAAAGTAGAAAGGAGCAAAACTAGAAAGCTGGGAGTACTATAATTGTGTTAAAAATAAATGCAGATTTTGAAAATATCAGAATTTTTTAAAATAACCTTTTTTACTTCAGTTTAAAATTTAACTGGTTTGAAAATTTGTTTTATTCTTATAGGAAGTAAATTAAAAAGCTACAGGTCATAGTAACTGATTTATTAAACAGTTTAATGTTTCAATTTAAGTTAGTTGCAGCTTGAAGTATTTAAAAGTTTTTTGAAAACTATTCTTTTTTAAAATTAATTTTCAAAAGACATTAATAAGAATATCTGTTTGAAATTAAATAATTTCGTTTCTTGGTAAAGTTCTTCAGTTGAAAATAAGTATATTTTTATGTAGGTATTATATTTAAAAGCATATTATGTGTGGTTTATAAAAAAAATTGTAATATGGTAAAAATATCTCCTCAGCTCTTAGTACAGTACCCAAGCATAGATACTATTAGTGTATTATACATCATAATTAAGTTTTTTTCTAGATAAAATGTCTCTAATAATATAAAAATGTGTTCATTCTATCTTGTATACTGTAAAACATGATTCCAGAGTATTTGATCATTGTTTTTTTTTTCTAATACAGGACAGGAACATTTATTTTCATACAAGTTTTCATCATATGTAGGTTTATGTAGTTTGGACACTATTTGTAATTTTTGAAAAACAGTGGTTTAGGCACTTATTTAATAAATATTTTCAAATGTACAGAGTTATATGGGTACCTTTATCTTTTATAATTGTTTTTAATTTATTTTTTACATTTTGAAGCTATTTTTTAAAATGATTTTTTAAAATTTTGCTCTCAATTTACTAATTTTTGAAAACAGTGGTTTAGATACTCATTTATTAAAAATTTTCAATTGTACAGAGTTATATTGACACTGTTTACAATAATTGTTTTATTATTTTTTTTTCTTATTGAAGCTATCTTTAAAATGGTTCCTTAAAATTATGTTCTTAATTTTCAAATTTGAATAAAAGTGGTTTAGACACCCATTTCATAAATATTTTCAATTGTACATGGTATTTTCTTTTTGCAACATAAATTTATATTTTCCTCAGTTTTATGTATTCACTTTTTATAGATTTAATTTATAATAATAAAGCTTTATTAATCTTTTTACCACTATACAAATATATGCACTTAGAATTTTAACTTTCTATAATTTATTAAATTATAAATTGCTAAATTTTTCTCTGTGACTGACTTGATTTGTATTATTTTTTAACCGACTTCAAAAAAGGAGGAGGTTATCAATTCGTCGCGATTTTTTTTTTTTTTTATATGTATGTTCAGCGATAATTCTTTAACACGGTGTCCGATTTCAATAATTCTTTTTTTGTTAGAAAGGGGCTACTTCAGGGGTGGTCCCATATAAATTTGGTCAAAATCTAAAAATTGGGTCCATGAGAAAATCCTCAAACTCTTCATTTTTTATGTATGTTTAGCAATAATGCTTTACTACCTTGTCCGATTTATATGATTCTTTTTTTTTAGTAAGGGGGTACCTCAGGGGTGGTCCCATATAAATTTGGTTAAGATGTGGTGATGGCATCTGCACGTTTTTCAAGTCGGTTTTTTTAAATTTTTAATTTATAATACTTGTTAAAATAAAAAGATGGTGAATTAGATTTAAAAAAACTATTTAATAAATCTATGAGAATACATTTAATGGATCATTACATAATTTAATGAATTTTATTTATATTAAAAACAATAATAATTGTTTTAATACAGTCAGCACATTTAAAACATTTTTTTTTAGATCATATAAGTATTACAAGGTTATTTTGTTTTGACTAAGAAATGAAATAAGTAATCATAATGAAATATTTTTTTCATAGTAGAAAATTATATTTACTATTTATACAGGGTGGTTTATAAATTAATACTTCTTTTTAAGCTGTGTATAGTCATTAAAATAAACAGTATTTTTAATAAAGCTCATTAATTTAATTCAAACTGCTAACTATTTAAGTATTGCTTGGATTAATATTGAACATATTTAATTAACAATTATAAAGAATATGAGCTCTTATAACATAAGAAAAAAATTTATTTTAAATTTTTAGCCCACAAAAAATATTCTCACCTGAAAAACAATACTTGAGTCCTAAAAAAGATCTAGGAGCGAGAAGAAACCTATTCAACCTTCTAAGCCCTACAAAAAACGCCATATCATTATCCTCTGATAGTCCTGCCAGACAGATCCTCCAAGAAACGTCAAAACCGGCTTTAACGTTACCATATAAATACAGATATACGGCGGAGATATTTAGATCGATAGATATCGTCTGTCAAATCATGTTCAACAGAAAAGAGACCATCACATTTAGAAAACTCAAACCAGCCGTCGAAGAAATGCTGAAAAGAAACATAATGGAGAAGCATTTGGCTCAAATAAAAACCATATATCCGAGCGCTTACGATTTTACACAAGAAAAACTTAAAGTTTTTGGAACAGGAATGAAACAGGAACAATGGGAGCTTGTAGTGACGCCGAAATTTGGAGACATTGACCACATGAATTCGGAAATATTGTTACAACGAAGGCGGACACTGTTTGGTATTCTTCTTGATAAAGTTAAACATTACCATGACGAATTCTTGTCTTTGCTGGATCCTCCTATTGTTTTAAATAAACAGAAACTTACCAGGTGTGTATTGTTTTGGTTTATTAAAAAATGTAAACAGGTTTAATAGATTTTTTTATTAGAAAAATTTCAACTAAACTACAAACTTTCCTTTCTTCTTTTTTCTTGTAAACGGTTCTGTCTTTAATGGGGCCCGATTATTTTCTCTCTGGATACAATTCAAAATTGTTCTTTATTTCTTTACATCTAGGTGGCACCCCGAATTTGACATTGAGAGAGTACCAGACATTGAATACTCAGAGTTACCACAACCACCAGCAGAAGAGAAATTTACGACTGGAAAAGATGTACTAGAAAAGGCCAAGCAGATGTACAATTGCAATACAAGAATGGAACAGGCTCTGCACAGATTACAGGAAATGAAGAACACTCAAACTCCAGAGGCTAAACAGAAGGAAGAAGGACAGCCTGCTTCAGTTTTGAGAGGTATATGATGTTTTAATTCACTCTAAATCGTTTTAATTCGGTTTGATTTATTTTAGGAATTCCTAAAGCTCTGTTGGAAAAAGTAAGACAAAAACAAGCAGCCAAAGCCCTTCTAACGATGACAAGGTCTGTTGATGAGGAAAAGCAGCTGAAAATTTATTCAAGGCTACCAGAATTGGCCCGTTTAACAAGAAATCTCTTCGTTTCTGAAAAGAAAAGTGTCTTACCACTGGACGTCCTTATAGAAAAACTAGGTAATTGTTATAGAGCTCATTTGACGAAAGCAGAGATGGAAGAGCATCTTAGGGTTATATCCAAAGAATTTCCTAGTTGGTTGGTGTTGCATGTCGTCAGGAATTGTGTATATGTTAAGATATCTAAAAGTGACGATATAAGTTTGATTATACAAAAACTGGAGAGTTTGGTTAAGCAAAAAAGTGAATTATAAAGATTATTATTTAAGATGCTTGTTTCAATTATTTTGAAAATTATTCAGTGACTGATTGTAGTTAAGATTATGCATAGAAATAAAGTTTTGGCTTGTATTAGAGGTTATCTGTTTTTAATTTACAAATATCCCTTCATAGAATTTTTCTTTTAATAAAATAATGTCTCTAAATCAAGTATTTATTTATATTGTTTTTTTTTTATGAATAAATTATTATAAAAGATGACGCAAGTAATGTTTTATCGTTTAATAATTCTAAAATTTGTATCAAATGTAACAAAACTACAAAACAAAGTTATTATTAACAGTCTGTTCTATCTGCGATATCGCGCTATAAAGTCTCGTCTTAATTTCGCTATCAGGAACTGTCCTGGGTTTTCCCTGTTCACTTTCAGGGTTAGCGCATTGTCGAAGAAGCGTTGCTAGTTCTGAGGGAGTGTGTTGCGAAATTAATAATCCAGGGACGAGTATGGTATTGGCCATTCTCCAGCCTAAAATATAACATTAATAGTAAATGAAGGGTACAGGAGTAAAAGTACATGAGGAATAATGGTTATATAGTTGGAACGTCAGAGGTCGCGGGTTCGAGCACCGCTCGGACCAGATTTTTTCCATTTGATTTTATTCCTGAATTCTTTCAATTGTTGAAATATTTTACGTACCTAAAAAGATTTTCTCACAAACAATTTGCAGATTATCATTAGCAACGAAATTGCTGCATTTGCTATTAGTATCGCACCTAGAACGACAGTCAATGAAATCACAGTCATTATCACTTTTGCAATATTCAACTTCTTTGATAATAGTATTTACAACAGACTTGGGCAGAACGCCATCCAAATCGATGAATTTCAACGTATTTTGATTCTTCACTAATCCGAAATGCTCCAGTTTAAGGTCACAAAGGTGAAACGGCTCACGAAATTTGGTTTCTAGTTTGTCTAGTAGATTTAAAATTTGAACGGCTAATTTTAAGCGCTTGCCCCAATTTTCTATATTGTCATTAAGCGTTAGGAAAGAGGACATAGCTGGAATGGGTTCCAGGTACTCTACAGCGAAATATGGACCACAAGTTCCTAAAAATAAAATATTTATGTAAATGTTACCTTTTAAACCACTAGCTGCTAAATGTTAAGTCTTGTTATAACGGACTTTATTCCAAAACCGGCAACGTTGCACACAAGTTCATGTTGGTTTATTGTACCAACTTTTCTATGATTCAATAGAGTTTACATTAACCATAAAAGTAATTGTGTAATATTTAAAGTTTAGTCGCTAATACCCTTAAATCCAACTTAAAATACTTTACCAATCCAACCTGAAAACCTTGGATATTGTTACACGTCTTCTAGGGTCACCTGTGGTTAAGTAGAAGTGGGTGACAGGCTGTTAATTAGAATAGGAACCAGTTTTGAAAACGCAGTTTGCTTTACGACCCTCGAATACACTTAAAGTAGTCCTAGTGGGGTAAATTATGATCCAGGCGATCACTTACAAATGGGGTAGTACCTGAAAGAACGTTGACACGGGAAATACCTACCTTACTCAACCTAAACAGTGCAACTGCCTCGTAACTTTTACTTTAAAGATAATCCAGGAAGAGCTAGATAAAGTGTGGGGTATAATTAAGAGAAACACAGGAAATTTATACAAAATAATATATTTAAAATGGTAACCACGGTGGAGCAAAACGAAACTCAAATAATTTTTAGTCTTAATTTACAATTAATTGCACAAAAATAAATACAAATCAGTAAAGAGCAATGTTGTCTAGAGTTCGACGGTCTGGAGTGAATTAAATATTCACTGATTAATGGAGTAGTGAAGGGTCTATTGACTCGGGGTACCTTGGATGTTAAGAAATTAGGTCAGTTAAACAGGTCTGTGCGATCACTAGCCTTGCTTTGCTTACGTAACTTTAGGAATCCCAAAACTTGAACTCCAGCTTTAAGAAATCCCGTATGAAATCACTAACCTGTTACGAAACTTCAGAAATCCCAAAGCGGTACACAATTCAAAACTAGGAAAGATAACGAAATAAATCCTAATAGAAAAGGTTAATAAGGAAAGTTTCTTAATTTGATTTCACAGTTTTGGCACAGATGGTGTAAATAGAAAAGAACTGACGATATTAACGGTAATGGTGTTGCTCAAATTAACTCCAGAAACTTGCACTGCAAGAAGAGACTGAACTCGGCAGGAATCTCGGCTTTATACTTTACCATCGGATTATTTCGGTTTACGAGTGGTGTTTACAAGTCGGAAATTACCAGATACGATAATTTACATAAATCTGAGCGTTTAAAGCTGGATTCGAATTTAGTTAAAGAGTGATATATTTAGAACTACAGGGGTTCTCGCAAATGTTTACAAGCACTGAAATTTTTAAGAAATAAAAATTACAGGGCTTTTGAGAACGTTAACAGGCGGACATTAACTTGATCTAAACATTTTTATAATTAAATTAAAAAAAAATTAGATAATATTCTCAAAACAAATTTAATTTCGTTTAAATCTTTTAATAATTTTTCTATAGTATGCTCTTTCAATTCAAATTAGTATATTGATGACAATTCATAAACAAAATAAATGTAGTATGGACAATACAATTATTTATTTATTTACCTCCATACAATGACTATGTCTACTCAGATAGTGTGTGCCTTACCTAAAAGTTGAGGAAACACATCCTTATCAGTAAACAAAGCAGAAAGAACATATTCATTGTCTTGCAACAACAGCCACAGATTGTCCATTTCCCTTCTTCGTTTAAACGTGTTCTTCTCTTCGTAACTAGGCTTAAGCCTGGACAATCGGATAGCCGTGTCGTAAGCTACCGTCAGATTAAATTTGTTCTTAACTATAGCCCTGATGGTTTGTAAAAATTCCTTTTCGGTTGGGTACTTGACGATGCCGTTATCGAACCAGTGGATGGCTTGTATGTCCCTGGGGACCGATTTGAAAACGAGGCGTGTGTCGTGCCATTCAGCGCTGAAGACGGCTTCTTTTGAGGCTTCGAACGAGTGACAGGTCAGGGAATGGATGTCTTTGGTGACGCACAATGGGGCGCATAGAGATCCCACAGCTAATCCGCTTTCGTAAAGATTGCACTGAAATAGTAGTTTGTACAACAAGAGTGGATATGGATAATCCACTCGAGTTGTACAGTATATTTTTTCTATGACAAGTTTAAAAAATTATTTTATGTTATTAAGAGAAAATAACTAATTTTAAAATAATTTGACTTTTAATAATTTATAAAATTAAATGAACATGAAAAAAAGATTTAATTTAATTAATCCCCAGTCCAGATTTGAACCCGGGCCTCTCGCGTGTCCTCACATCCACAATCATATTTAGGATAACGACTCAATTTAATGTATATATTTATTCTCAATAACCTAAAAAATATACTGACAATTAGTTTGACAGAATTTTAAAATAATAGTACCTAGAATGGATATGAAATATATTCGTTCAGTTGAACGGAATAGCATAATTTATGAATTTTACTAATTTATAAAATAATTTAATTTGTCTCCAATCCTAGATTTGAACCCGAGACTTCTCGCATGATAGCTGAATGCGTAAATATAGACGAATATCTTATGAAATGCTATTATTTATCGATTCTTCACAAGAACCATTCCTTTTTAATTATATTTAAGAGTAAACCGGATCTGTCGCGAAAAACAAAAATGTTGTGAATATTTTCTAATGAAAAATTGTATTTATTATCACAAACATGTAACTTTCAAAATGAGATACTTTACCAGTTTTGTCACGTGACTCCATGCCTGCAAATTAACGCAAAACACATTTAATTTGAACAATAAATAAACGCACGTGAATAATATTAGCACAGCGGAATATAGCGTGAATTTGTGCGTATACAGAATTCCAGGTATCCTGCGAACGAGAATCATAACAAAAAGATAGAAACGATGAAATTTTGTTGCGAGAAAAGAAAATTCATAGCAAAAAAATGTGAAAATCGACCGGCTGAGAAATAAGGAAATCTTACTGCGACAATCTAATGGTCGCGGCTGGCTAAAGAGACGACTACGGGATATTAATTTACGAATTAATAATAATAAAAAAAACGTTATAGGTAGTTGAATGAGGAAATAATAGGTAGTAATGGAGAATGCTGGGACCTATCATTTTATCAAAGTTTGGTTAAGATTTTGGAGGAGCACAATAAGGTGATATTTTTTAGGTGATGCGGATGTACCTAATATATTGGATACAGCATATAAAAAATATGTCCGTATTAGACACAACTTACAATATTTCACAGAAAAACAACATGACAATGATTCAGAACCTCATGAGGCATAAGTGCTGCGAAGCAATGAACCATCCTATCTGCTTTACTGATACAAATACTGGATGTTCTCATTAAAAAAGTTACAAAAAAATTAAAAGAAAAACGACTTCTAAAATGAAAAGTTTGACGGATCCCATCATTATATCTGGGAACACCCCTGAGGTACCCCCTTTTCAACAAAAAATAATCATAGAAATCGGACAACGTGGTAAAGAATAATTGCTGAATATACAAAAAAAAAATATTCCGACGAATTGAGTACAATAAACAAGTGATCAAAATCATATGCCACCTTTTAAAACATATAACTTTTAGTATGGAGCATGGAGTATCGCAAGGATCAGTTCTTACCCCTACTATTTATAATTTATGTAAACGATCTTTTTGACCCTACCTATGAATTATATAAATAATTATGCTTCAGTGACTTTTAAGTTATTAATAAATTTAATGAGTGGCTTATTCCGAATCAACTGAAACTTTGAAATTAAAATAAAAAAAATGTATTTAAAACTAATTGTTTGACATAAATGAAATATTTGTTCACTAAGGAACAAATTCTCGAACATTTTTGAATAATACCAGTTAAAAATAAAACTTGTACAATTAAAAAAATAGTTTTATCTTATGATTCCGAGTTTGCAAAGTTAGCCACTTTCATTGGCACATGCGGAAAGTATATTTTAAGCTTGCGTAGTAAAATATAGGATCTGCAGGACGGCAGGATAATACCGTGAATTTAAACGTTCGATAATTTTATTATTTTTAGTCCTGATTCCTGATAGAGTTTAATTGAAATATTTGATTTGAAATAAGCTACCTATTTTGTATTGATTTACTAATGTAACATTCATGTTTAGTTTTTCATAATTTAATATATGACGAATGATTTTATTTATGAAAATTATGGAGTTGCAGATCTAAAACTTATACTTCAATTACGTCACGTTCAGGGCCGCCGAGAGCCAGGTCGGGCCCCAGGACAATTCTCCAGATCGGGCCCCGCAACAATTTTATAAAAAATTTACAAAGAAAGGTCTTCAAGAAAAAATTTCTCCTCCTCTTTACTTAAATTTCTCTAAAAAAAAAACTTCTCCTCTACTTGAATTTTTCTAAAAAAAAAAAGATCACCAAACAAAAACTTTCGCCTCTTTACTGAATCTCTCTAAAGAAAAAAATAGGTCTTCAAGCAAAAACTTCCCCCCTTTTGTGCCGAACTTCTGAAAGTAAAAAAAATCCTCGCCACATTTGCCGGGCCCCCATTTGAGCCCAGACCCCGGGAGTTAGTCCTGGCTGCCCCCCTCCTCTTGTCGACCCTGGTAACATTTTGGACAAATCGGTTAAAATCTGCTATGTGAGTCATTATTATCTAAATTAAAGTTTTTTTAACATTTTATACAGGGTGTAACAAAAATATGTAAAGTAAATTTAACCACAGTTTCTGGTATCAAAATGGATAGTAAAAAGCTTGAAGTAGACATTTTAGAAGTGATTTTTTGCTCTTACTCTAAAACGGCTTAACATATTTTTATGAAAATTTACAGTGACCAAAATGGAGTCAGTGGCGTTCAAAATTGTTTTCATTCTATAGATTTTTAGAAGAATTCTGCTCCCCTTTGACCTCCCATGCACGTGTTGTTTTTTTTTGTCTGTTAGTATTTGTTTATGAACGTTTGTTTGGCCTGCAGGTCATATGCGTGAAAGACCATTAAAACCTAAAATTTTACCACATAGCTGACAAAATTTGGTTCGGGGTCTGTATTGCTCTTAAGCTACTAAAGAAAAATCCACCATATAGAGTCTGTTCGCTATACTTACGCGGGTTTTGGATTAACAACATTATGCAAATTAGTCATTGACAACCAGTTCCAATAAGCCTCTTCCCAAGAAATTAGGTAAAATTGCCCTAATGGTCAGATTTAAATTAAAATAACATTAGGGTTATTAAGAGAAGTATTACAAAATCACAATAGTGAACTGCCGAAAGAAGATCACCGCAAAACTCGCCCATCATTGAAAACGAAAGATATTCCAGATGGAAAGAAATTTGAAATTCGTGATACCATTTATCGAATTAGGGCCAACAAGGAACATGTGACCTTAAATACAATTCTCTCGGAATTAATAGATAGAAAATTTGACGACATTGGCAGAACAGGTCTATAGCAAGTGATACATAACTTGGGTTTCAAATTTCAAAAGGAGGATAACAGAAAGGCCCTTTGTGAAAGAAGTTCTGTCGTTCACAAGAGAATTAACTTTCTAAGAAAATATTCTAAATTTAAAAAAGAAGAGGCGAATTTTATATATTTAGACGAAATATGGATATTTTCTAGGAGTGCAACCAAGAGAATATGGCAAGATGATAACGTAAAGTCCATCAAACATACCAATGTAGAAGGGATGCGACACATAATTTTACATGCAGGAGGGAAATCGGGTTTTATAGAAGGTACTGATTTAATATTTTCATCTAAATCAAAATCCAGTGACTATCACGATAATATGAACACAGAAATGTGTGTAAAATGGTTGCATGAAAAACTTCTCCCTGGTTTAAGTGAGCCCAGCGTAATTATTTTAGACAATGCACCTTACCATTCTGAAGTATTAAACAAAAGTCCAACGAATTCTTGGACTGTTGATAAAATTAAAGAATGGTTGACAAAGGAACACATACCATTTCCTCAATATATATTTAAATCAGAATTATTACGCTTGGCAAATATACACGCAAAACCAAAAACCTTTGTTGTGGATCAGATTATTGAAAGTTACGGTCATCAAGTTTTACGTCTGCCACCGTATCATTAGAGAGATCGGGCAAGCACCAATACCGTGATACGCTAATTGCGTACGGTATTATTTGACATCTACGCATGTGCATATCAAAATATTTACAGAATTACCCTATTACCGTTATTGCAAAACGCTAATTCCGTAAGTTTGCGGAAGGGATTTATGAAATATAAGGGAAACCGAATGTATCCGAATTTAATATCATCCATAGTGGTATGCCGCTTGTCATTTGTCTTTTGAAACGATTTCCCGATTTCTTGTTTCTGTTTGGCTTGGATTTGTTTGTATATGTTTGTTTTGGCGTCTATTGTGTTCGTAGTAGTTTTAAAATGTTATATTGACCGTTTAAACATTTTTTGTAATTGTAGTTTTTTTTTAAAGTACATTGGGAGGAGGCGCACACACACACACACACACACACACACACACACACACACACACACACACACACATCATCGCGAAAATAGTCAAAACGGATTCAGGGGACCTCAAAACGTAAAAATCCGTCGAAAACTCGAGGTCGAAAAAAATCATGATTCCTATACTTTCCTTATATCTGTATACAGATAGGAAAGTAAAAAGTTGTACATTATTTTTCATTTCATTTAACCAGTTGATATTTCCCCAAAGAACAGGTCAAACTTTCGGGTACTTACCTGGAAATACTCATAAAATTTTTAATCCGAAACCCGCATAAGTATAGCGAACAGACTGTATATATCAACGATCCTTTTCTTATTGATACTCGTAATTTACCTTATGATTTTAGTTACTCGTCTTTACATAAACTTAAACGGGTTCTTTTGACTATTATTTTTCTCAACGCTATTCGGGTTAAAATATATTTCCTTGGTTAACCGTTTTTCTCTATTAATTTAATTCAATTTATTAATTTATTTGCTATTTTACATTTTCTTCATTTGGATTTAGATGGAAGAGCCCTAGATGCAGGTTAATGTATGCTAAATTATTATACAGTCAAATGTAATTTTTCTTTTTATTATAATATGGTAATAAAAACATTTTTTATTATTATTATAAAACCAATTTTTGTCAAAATGGAATAGTTTGGTAGGTATTTCCGTTTATAAATACATACACCCATTACATATTCGCATTATAACAATAATATAAATATTTTTCATCAAGAGTGATACCGGTTTGTATATTTATAACATGTACAGCATGTAAAACTTTCTAGTAGTATAAACACGGTTTATTATTTTCTATATTGTCACACGAATAAAAGAAATTAAATTTGAATTTGCCGTCGAATGGAAAGGTCGACAAACTTAATTAATTTTGGTGATATATTATAGATATATGTTTTTTAGGGGAAAATTGTAAACTGGGATTTTAATAGAGAAATAAAACAAATACTGCACAATTTAAACTAATAGATACATGATGATTCCTTTTTTTCGCTACTAGCTTGAATTATTAAAATTATGACTCTTTAAATATATTAAATTTATGATGACCCCATATATCTCTCACGTTGGTTGAATGCATCAAAAAAGGGTGATATTTAAGAAAAAAAAAATGTCACTGGTGAACGAATGATGAATCTTTGAAATTTATTATAGTACAATCAGAAATTGTCTTCCTTCTACACGATGTCACAAGGGTGACTTCAAGGGGAAATGAAAGAGCTGGGATGGGATTAGAAAGTCTGTGCTGATTGACTTCAAATCTATGAGTTTGACTGCCTCGAAGCCGTGTGCCCCAATAACCCAACTGGTAGAGACACAGGTTCGATCCCTGATCGGTGCATTAATTTTTTTCGAATATTGACATACACAAAAGTTATAGCATGCCATTAGCAACAAAAGTCAAATTTTAACATGATGAATTTTAAGTTTTAAAACTTTGTATTTCAGTCTCTGTGTTATTGGAAAAACTTGTTGAAATCTTTTGTCAGTAGAGAGGGTTTTTGAATACCTTGTATAGTGTAACATTTATTATCTACAACTTTTGACAACATTGTCCTACAAATAAAAAAATGGCAATTTTCTATTTGTAGAGAATTTGTTTTTTTTAACTAGGAAAATTATTGTAACAATACCAAATTAATCAATTGTTTCATAATAAATCGTAATTTATTTGATACGTATTTCGTAAACACTTTTCTAATTAATAAACTATTTTAATGATGTTTTGGCATGATTTTAACCATAAACATCTGTTTTGACTGAATAACAATAATTCTTTTCTAAATTCTATGTTCAAGCAGTTTGTAAATAAATCAAAATGTCAAAAAATACGTTTTTGAAACTAGCATCTAGTCGAAATATAAACTAATAAAATATAACAGGATTTAATGAATTGTCATGATATCCCTAATCCGACCCTGTGCCTGTGTACGCACGCGGCCTTCACATGGCAATCAATTCGTGATCGAAGCAACGCTGACGTGTGGAAACAGCCGGACCACGTCTCGAATGTAAAAGAATACGACGGAATGTCTGCCGCTGAAGCACTGGAAGCGACTGGAATGGCGGAGAGTGCCGTTTAGTCATAAAAAGGAATGTTCGAGAGCCTCTCGTATTTTCCAGTAGCGGATTTGGACTAATATAAATAGGCGACGTATCAGCGCCGAGTTTAGTTTAATATAGAACATTGTATTGAAAAGTTAAAGTGTAAGAAATAAATTAGAATTGTTAGTTAGTGTCTAAATATTACATAAATTAAATAGTACGTTTGAAATAAATTGTAAATAGTGTATTTTTAAATAAATAAACTACAAATAAATTAGATTTTCGTCACAGAATTGTATAATTTTTTAATATCAGTCATAGGTGAGTCATCCGGTATACTATCTGCCCAAAAAAACAACAAAAAACGTCTTAAAATAACTATAAGTTAAAATGATTAAATTTTCAAATTTCAAAAAATATTTATATATATATATATATATATATATACCGACAAACTTTTAGGGATAATAGAGACATATTAAAAAAAAAGAGTTGATACAGGGTGTACAGAACGCTATTACAAATTCATGAAGCTAAAATGTAGGAATCTAGTCCAATTTACTGAAATCCGACAACCGGGGTTTGATAATTAATTTAAATAATCCTTATATATTACATATTATATTCAAATTATTATTTCGAATTCAAACAACTTCCTAGCATCTCCCGAATTGTAGGCACCGTTTAATTACTTCTGGGAAAAGAAATCGACGTGTAAACTGTAACGGCCGCTAGCAAAAAACCAGATGTAAAACGATAGGACTATATTCCGGAATTAATACAGGGCTTCATAGTCTTTATGCACCGAATTCACAGTCGTTCTCTTTCCGATACATTTGCATATAAGGGAAATTTAAGTATAAATACCAGGGTTTTTGTGGGCTGGGGGATTAGCTTTTTCATCTTCACCGAGTCAAGTTAACAAAAAACGCAAATATCCACGTTACCGCTACGGTGACTTCTTTTTCTTTATATTCTTCAATTTTAATTAAAAAGAGATATCGCTACCCTTACGGTAGCCGCGCTTTTCATATATTTTGAAAACGGAAATAAAAGATATCGACGGGGTAGAGAAATTAATTTCTATAAACGACGGCTTCTGCATAGATATCTAGTTGTCCTTAGGATGACCACTTTTTTCTTATATTTTATATATAAGTAAAAGGAGATATATAGTCAGGTTGACCAAGCAGATACACGTTGAATAGAACCAGATTTCGCTCCTAGAACTGTTTTATAAGGTTGTATCTACCGAGCGACTAAAATATTGACGTAACTGATACTGGTGAGACCACGCTAGTATAGTTAAACGCCAGATATTTTATATATCCGATTCAACATTATAAAATGTTACTAAATGATTAAAAGTACTACTCTAGGCGACGTTCGTAGTGGATTTCGTCACCCTTAAGGCTGACCCGACGAACTTGCGCCAAGTAGACGCTTTTATCAACGGTATACTTTTTTTCTGTAAGGTTTCTTTTACGTAGAATTAAAACGATAATCGCACTATTAAAGTAATCAAACTAGTATTTAATATTCATATCACTATATTACTTTTATATTCATTAGCGGGAAAATTCGGGTCTGTGTGTTATTGTCATATTATTGGTATTCATTGATAAACGTTTATTGTGGGAAAAATTATAGGGTTTTTATATTGTGCTAAATTATACTATTTAGAGAATCGATAGTGATGTTGTTGGCATAAATATTAATTGTTGTAAAGTCGGTCAACACTCTCAAGTAATAAATTAAGTCATTTAGATTTATGGCCAAAGGGCCGAATTGTAAAGTTTTGGTTGTCTGTAAACAGTACCTGATCATTTCAGTAAAGAGGAAACGCACTTTCGGTTTTACTTTTAAATGGAAAACAGATGTAGATTAGTAGGGTAAATGCCATGATTTGTATATATTTTAAAGTTAGATTGCGGTTAAAAAATATGTATATCGATTTTTAGGGAAATAGGGGATATGTACAGTGGCGGGTAGAATCATGAATATTGAGGAGGGTCGGGTTTATTTGTACATATCCACATATCTTTAGTGGGACATTACGCGAAAGTAGTCGGTATGTTTGTTATTTATTTAGAGTAAATAGGTGAAATTGTGTTTGTGGACTAGCTAACGTATCCTCAGAACTGTGATTAATAACAATGATTTGTTAATCGACAAAGCAAAAGAGCATCGCGCCGAAAAAGAGCCTTAGGCCACCATAGACCGCCAGGGACCTTAATAGTAAGGGCATAAAAATGGTATTGCCTTTGCGGCTATGTAAATTAAAGCCTGATAGAGGCAGGATGGATCTCGACTGAGATACCCCAAAAGTAGGCCTGACGGGCATCCCCCTTTATATCAAGTGTTCTACGAAGGACCGTTCAATGTTTTCCATACAGGACTGAGTATGTCAGTACATTACGGCATTGGAATATTAGGGAAAGGCGTGACGCACGGTGAGGTAAATCTACACTCTGGTTTTTACACATGTTACAAACATTATTTTATATTTCACCGAACTCCCCGTGCTACCGCTGTACTCTCTTTTATTAGACAATGCGTAATTCAGTATTTCCGTGGAAAGGTGTGATTAGGAGACAAACAAATATACCAAAGTACTTCCGACTTTTATTTTACCCTTTTGTAGGAACTAAAAGCTATGAGGTTAGAAATGACACATTGGAAAGCCTACATAAACATAATGCCTAAAAACGGCACATAATCTAAATGTTCGGCTGTACAAAAGAATAGATGTTAAATAAACAGTATTCCCAATTAATCTCTGTGTTTACTTTGTTCTTCCTCCATTACAGCTACATTGAACTCTAAACGTAATTCTGGGGGTTTTAACATCACTTCGTGGGGATCCACTAGCAGAAATTTAAGCCAAAGTTAAGGGTATTTGAAGAACTAGGTTAGGGCCCGGTTTGTCAAGTTACATTACCTTAGCCTAAAAGTTGATAATTTCCAAAATATTGGCTGTTATTATTTATTTATATTTTTTTGTAAAATATTTTAATAATAAAACATTGATTTATACGAAATATTTACGTATTGTAGAAATATTTTGTTATATTGATCATTTATAAATATATTTTGTTGATTATTTATGAGAATTTTATTATTCTATCATTTTTTAAGAAATAATATCGAAACTTGAGACAACCTGTACCGACGAAGTACCTCAATCCGCGAAACCATTCTCTTGCGATGGTAGTAGAGATGGTAGGGGACCAACTACAAGGATACCTCTCCAACACTCTACTTACCAGTCGGTCACATTTGCCGGTGACATTACCTCGTTTTACACCTTTAGGATTACCTGCGCACCAATTACTCTTCAGTATATACCGGGACGTTTCGATAAGTAGTACCGCAAAATGATGGAGAAGGAAGCACAACCTGAATCGATGGCGACGGTCACCATCAAGCCTGAGTACAGCCCTTCTGAGTACTCTGCGTCTGAAGCACCACCGGTAAGTACATTTTGGTTAGTTTATGTAGTAATTATTTTTTAATCATTAATAATATATTTTTCATATAATTCTGATTGATTGTACTCCGATTTTATTATATAACAAATTAAAATTAATAACATTAAAATTCAAATATAAACTAACACAATTAAAAACATTAGGCATATACTTTTCTGCCCCAAAAGGGTATGGGATGATTTCATTACAGTTCTTTTAATAAAAAAAATAAAACAAAATAGTTAGGGCTTTGAGGGGTTTTTGTCACATTTGAGTAGGAATTATTTAAAAAGTACTAGACACTTTACTACTTAAAAAACTATAATGATTATATTTAATATTAACCCCCCCATTTTTAACCAGGTTATTTTCTGAATTAATACGCTTCATCCCCTTACAGAGCTAGATTTTTTCTGAAGATTTTAAGTTGATATCGATTTTTGTTTCGGAGTCATCATTTTTTTTTTTATATTTCAACCCCCCCTTAACGCCCCATTTTTAATTAGATTACTTTTAGAATCAATAGGCTTATAGAGCTTGATTTTTCCTGGAGATATCAAGTTGATAACAATTTTTGTTTCTGAATTAGCATTTTTTTTAATATTTCAACCCCCCTTAACCTTCTATTTTTATTTAGATTTTTTTTCGGAATCAATAGGCTTCATCCCCTTATAGAGTTGTTTTTTTACTAAAATATTCATGTCGATATTACTTTTCGTTTTTAATTTCCGATTTTTTTTTATTTCAACCCTTCTTAACACTCATTTTTTTTAGATTTTTCAAAATTAATAGGCCTCGTCCTCTTATAAAGCTTAATTTTTTTTTATTATTACAACCCCTATAACCACCCCCATTTATATTCAGATTTTTTCAAAATAAATTTCGTGTTGATATCGCTTTTTATTTTTAATTTATGATTTTTCTTTTAATTTCAGCCCCTATAACCCCCCTTTTTATTTCTAGGCATCGTCCACTCATATATCCAGATTTTTCTGAACATTTCAAGTTCGTTTTTCATTTTAGATTTATGATTTTTTTGTTATTTAATCGCTTCAAATTTTTTTCAAAATTTCTTGATATGTAAAATGATTAAAAAAAATTTAAAAGTTTTACAACAATATTGGGTATTGTGATTGAAAATTAAGCAAATGTCTAGCTGGAATTTGTCCTAAAATCCAATTTGAACAAAAAATAATATACCGAGGATTCCAGGACTGTCCTATATTTTTTTTTCTAAATGGAAACTTGTGTAGGTTTAAGAATTATAGCCATTTTCTAGGAATTATAATAGAATTGTTAATATAAATTGACGGATTTACCAAGGTACTTAAGAATTAAATTAGGTATTATATTTTAATAGTGCTTAAAATTCAATTAAATATAAATTAGCCGGATTTACCCCACTTAAGCTGACGTCGCACTAACCACATTTAAATGTTGACTGTCTTGGAAGAAATAGGAAAAGGAATAACATCATAATGTTACTTGCTGAAGAAAAATAAGTTCTTAGGATAAGTTATAAAAGTAATTTTAAAAAACCGACTTCAAAATCGTGCGAATGCTCTTAATAATTGATATTATAATCTCAAAGATCGTCCAATCCTGACCAATTGTAAATGGAACTACCCCCTAACAAAAAAAGAATCATCGCTGAACATACATAAAAAAAATATTCCGACGAATTGAGAACCTTTTTGTGAAGTCGGTTGAAAAAAGATATAATGAATATATACAGGGAATTTCAATAAAAAATAACTGTACTAAATAATTTTAAAGGTGAGGCTTTTGTGAAAAAATCCAAAACCAATAGAAATCAGCTTCAATACCTAATAAAATAATTTAAGAAAATTGTTATATTATTTACTTCATTTATAGAGTCGTAATTTATATTTTCATATTAGGTTTTCATTATCACTTTTTTCAATTATTAATAATAAAAATTACGTGTGCATTTTCGGCCAATCAATGAGATAAATCAGTATTTTTGAAATATTAATAATTAACCACAAATTAAACAACAAATGAATAAAAAAGCATTTAAAACACGTTGACTGCCGAAGCAAGTAATAAACTGGTGTTCTGGTTTAAAGAAACATATGTTTGTATACCTCTATGAAATTTTAAAATGTGGCCCTTAAGCCACCCTACAACTTTTATTATCTCTTATAACCACGAGATTGGTATATCATAATCATTTGAATAAAAAATTTTAAATGTGGATCTGCCTACAGTCTGTTCGCTATACTTACGCGGGTTTCGGATTAAAAATTTTATGAGCATTTCCAGGTAAGTACCCGAAAGTTTGACCTGTTCTTTGGGGAAACATCAACTGCTTAAATGAAGTGAAAAATAATGTACAACTTTTTAATTAAATAATAATGGAGAATCTTTTGTATAATTGAGAGCAGAATTAAACTTCTTCATTAATGGAGTCTAATGTGGCTATTATAAACCTAATAATAATTTTATATTACACTTCACACAGAAAATATGGTCTATGTATAATAAGAGGATTATTTAGCTCAAATAAAATAGTTTCTAACATAAAAATTTGTTCCATGTAGATAATTTTAAATGAAAAATAAAAAAATTGAACTTGCCATTGATTGGACTTATTTCGTTTATTTTATTTTCACGAGTCCACCAATCTTCTATTAGTTTCTCGCACTTGGATATACAGTTCCGCCACACTTCTAGAGTTGCAAGTGAAAGTGCTTTTCGCCAAGTTTCCCGAACTGCGTGTCGTCACTATAACCATTAGGCCCAATATGGTTGTCATAATATTGTTTTGCTATTCCTCATATATATTCGACGGGATTAAACTGACAATGATACAGTGGCAGACGTAAAACTTGATGACCATAACTTTCAATAATCTGATCCACAACAAAGGTTCTTGGTTTTGCGTGTATATTTGCCAAGCGTAATAATTCTGATTTTAATATATATTGAGGAAATGGTATATGTTCCTTTGTCAATCATTCTTTAATTTTATTAACAGTCCAAGAATTCGTTGGACTCTTGTTTAATACTTCAGAATGGTAAGGTGCATTGTTTAAAATAATTACGCTGGGCTCACTTAAACCTGGGAGAAGTTTTTCGTGCAACCATTTTACAAACATTTCTGTGTTCATATTATCGTGATAGTCACTGGATTTTGATTTAAATGAAAATATTAAATCAGCACCTTCTATAAAACCCGATTTCCCTCCTGCATGTAAAATTATGTGTCGCTTCCCTTCTCCATTGGTATGTTTGATGGACTTTACATTATCATCTTGCCATATTCTCTTGGTTGCACCCCTAGAAAATATCCGTCTAAATATATAAAATTCGCCCCTTCTTCTTTAAATTTAGAATATTTTCTTAGAAAGTTAATTCTCTTGTGCACGACAGAACTTCTTTCACAAAGGGCCTTTCTGTTATCCTCCTTTTGAAATTTGAAACCCAAGATATGTATCACTTGCCATAGACTTGTTCTGCCAATGTCATCAAATGTTCTATCTATTAATTCCGAGAGAATTGTATTTAAGGTCACATGTTCCATGTTGGCCCTGATTCGATAAATGGTACCACGAATTTCAAATTTCTTTCCATTTGGAATATCTTTGCGGTGATCTTCTTTCGGCAGTGATCTTCTTTCACTATTGTGATTTTGTAATACTCCTCTTAATTTGGTTTCACTAATTCCTAGAGCATCGCATTCGCATTGTTGTACAGACATTACCGATTTTAAATGACCGCCATTTTCTTTTTCATCCTTAAAATACTTATGTACACTAAAAATTAGACTATCTACATCTAACACACGTCTAGGCATTTTTAAAATTTTCACTAAATTTACAATATACATACAATGTCAACACTTGCAAAGAATCAATTCAACTGCAATATTTGTAACAAATTTAGTACCTACCCTAATGTTATTTTAATTTAAATCTGACTATTAGGGCAATTTTACCTAATTTCTTGGGAAGTGGCTTATTGGAACTGGTTGTCAATTACTAATTTGCATAATTTTGTTAATCCGAAACCCGTGTAAGTATAGCGAACAGACTGTAGGCGAGATAATCGCAATCTATTTGAACAAAGTATTTTTTTTCTTCGTTAAATAGAGTAGAAATGTTTATATTAAAAGGTTTGGAACGCCCGGTATAGAGGAATGCAGTACTTTTTTTCTTTACTCACATCCCGTAGAAGAAAAAAAACAGTAGTTCTTTCCTACCTACCTACAACAGGAAAGAATGAAAAATGTATAATTTCCACAAAACGATTCCTCATCTACCATATCTATATGCAATTAAGAATTATAATTGCAAGTCTACGTAACGTGTATCAAAAAATTTGAATTCCTATTCCGGATTTGTTTCTCAACGAAAAGAGAAATCAATAAATAAATAGTTTGCTGCTGCACAATGTGGGAACAAAAAAAATATATATAACTTCCTCGTCGATATAATAATTCGCAATCACAGTAATTTTACCATTCAATGGTCTCGAATATTATTTAGTCTATGGGATTATTTTCAGTTTTCATATTTTTTTTTTTATTTGTTTATTAGTTTGTGGGTACATTAATTTAATTTATAATTGAAAAAGTATTTGGACGGTTTCTTCTTTATTTTTAAACTTAGAATGATACGGTTTTCACCAAATTCTTGAGCGCTTCTTGAGCAATAGCGAAAACGAAGAGGTCGTAACTAAAATTGAACAAATTCCAATATGAACTGTTGATAGAGCGTAAATTGCCCAATATTATGGTTGAATAAAGAAATTACATGTAATAAAATAGGAGAGAGTTTTTAGGAAAAGTGATTCAGATATTAATACTTGATTTGTGTCAGTACCGATAAATTGTTTATGCTCGTTTAATTTGATTAATTTTTAAACTATAAATAGGTATATTTATTGAGACTAACTTTAAATAATTCATTTTCTCTTGGTCTCATTTCCAGGCATTTGTCCTTATAATCGATTATCGGGAAGGGTAAAAACGACTACAA